TGCACAAATTTTGCTTCTGCATCTTTCTTTCTGACCACCCCATGAGTTTTTAATGCACAAACCAAACTGGAGAATGAGCACGTTCCCATTTGTTATTTGGCTTTGAGACATCAAATAGAACCACAACAGTGCAATACTGTCAAGCCACGCTTGCAACTAAAACCAAGTTGACCGAATGGCATGTAGCTACTGCTCAACAGTCTTTATGATGTTATTTCTTTATATAAACTTACTTTTGGCTAAAAAAATGCAGCAACAAAAAGACAGGTGAAAATATTGTTTGCACAAGCTTGAAACAAGCAGCAAGTCCTGATAATTAAACAGCTTATACAAAGAACCAAGTGATTTTTAGCACAAGAGCAGTAAAGGTATTGGTTATATATTGTTTATATTGAGGTGACGGATTCATTCATACCACAGTTAAGCCACAGTTCCAGTGAGGTCTGCCCATTTTATAGTTTGCCAGGACAACCATCACATCCACAAACTGCATGTGAGAGAGAAAGAGGGAGGGATGTAGCAGGCAAAGGACATGCCACCCCCTCAGGATGCACAGACCCATGCCAATACATAAACATAGCAGTGCCCACTTCTCCCCCTGCCTGCTTACTGTCACATTCTCTTAAATTCCTTCCAGTGATGGTTTTTCAGGGCTGAGAGACATTTCATCCAGTTTTCCCGTTTCTCATTACCCAAAGGCCACCACTTGCCCACACTTTCTAGCCAACATCCTCAGTACATTTCGGTCACATACAGGATTTCCCCTATGTCACGGGCAGGGAAGATGCAGGGAGAAAAGACCCAAGCACGTGCAGAGCGGGGCTGCAGACCAGCTCAATTAGGTCGCACCTGCATGTCCTAAACACAGATTCCTCCTTTTTCTGTACTTGTCCTTTGCATTCCACCCTCCCTGCCTCCCCTTGGAGGTAACACCGGTTTCCTTGGCTTACCACAGCCTCCCTACCAGCCCTTACCACCCTCCCTTTCCTGGGGTTTCCTCATCAGCGGGTCCTACAGTGCCACTGTGGTGGCCCTGGCCCCTTCTGCTGGAAGTGGGAAGAGGGGGACGCCTGGCCCTTTGGCCCTGAAGCTTGCTCTGAGCCAGGGCCGTCACTCCCGAGCAGCAAGGAGGAAGATGAGGAACACCGGCTCCCTGCTGTAGAGCATGTAAGTGCCAGCCTCATTTCCACATTGCAGAGATATAATAATCGCCTTTTCCTGGGGACATGGGCTAGGCTCTGGCAGTAACGTTGCTTTTGGCCTCCTAAGGTTGAATTAGGGATCTCTAGTAATAAAAATTAATGCCATCCAGCCTTGGTAGCACTTGCATCTTTGTTTTCCCTAAATTTTTGTTTTTACTGAAGAGTGCCCCAGTAGAGAAGCTGCAGATTAAGCTCACTTTCTACCTGGTCCCAGAGGTGCCTCTGCAAACAGCATCCGCTTTTACTGCTCTCAACTACCAGCCTATGCTCCCAGATCAACACCGGCCCTGTTTCGAGGTCTTCCGCTCAAAACGTTTTAGTACTTCTGTTCGTATTGCTCCGGGACGCCCATGCACCCGTCGCTGACCAGACCCCCCAGGTAACTGCTGGCTTTAATCGCAGAAGGCACTGCTTTGGCCACACAGAGGCAGATCAAGATCTCCCAAGCCTGTAATGGCACTAGCCGCTTTCATCTCAATCTATAAAAACCCAGATTAAGTCAAGGAAGAGGTAAAAACAAAGTAAAACTTCTTCCCAAAAGTAAAATTCACTAGTTTTTCAGAACACCTGTTTATCTCCATTCACACCCTGCACTTGCTTAATTCAGCCTTTTCATCTGACCGCCTCTGTCAGTCACCCAGACGAATCCTCTGTTTACCACTGAAGAAACTTTCTCCTTCACTTGGCCATTCACATCCCGGGGTTTATATGTCTAGGAATGAATGACAGAAACATAATGAAAAGATTTTTTTTATTAAAAAACAACATATTTATACATTTGTACATTCCACATACTGCTGTATATGTTCACCAACATAACCATTAAGTCAGAGAGCATCAGCAGTGCAGATTTCGATCTGAACAACTTTACTGCAGGGGAACTTCAGTTTTGTAATCAATCAGACCTTACAGAACGTCATTGACTTCTTTTCCCTTTAAAAGTAGCAGCACATTTAATTATCAGTGTTCACAAGGCATAAGCCCCAAAGTGTTGTACAGCAAGAGAAAAATTAATTAGTAAATATAGGCCATAGGAGGAGAGCTCACAACGAAAATGTATTAGTTGCTGCCTGTTATAAACAGCAGGATGTTAACAAAACACTTAGAGCTATGCTGAATAGAGACTGCAGCAAATTGGGAAGCGTAATAAAATAAAAAGTTACTTCTTGATACAACTGTATAAGATAAAATATTTTTCAATGTCATTCAGGATAGGAGTCCTGCAAAGAACAGACGTCGTTATAAAGATTCAGCAGAGTGGGGATAATGCTCGTGTGTTCAAACATGTTATAAAGGTCTCGGAAAACACAGGCGTACTCCATCCCTACCGCCACCTTTCCACAGCTGACGTTACTAGGGTTTCACGTGGTTGATGTAGTACAGCGACATTTTATTGAACAAAGACGGACGTGCTCAGGAGTCCACCCAGAACTCCAGACTTACACCCATGCCAGTTAAATGCCAGAAGAGTGACATTAATCAGGTAACGAAGGCTGGAAAGTTTTTGGGGACTGGGAGCTGGGGGGAGCGAAGCAAGAAGTTCTCATTGTAACCCGGCCTCCCGTGCACACCTGAGCCACCACACAACGGGCTGCCCGAAGAAGTCCCTTCATCGGTACCTGTGGCACACTCTGTGCAACAAAACCCAATTGCTTATTTTCTCCAGACTTTCAGATCAGTAGTATTGTAGTATTATCAATGTGACAACTTATCCCTTTAAAGCACAGAAATGAAGATCTAACCGAATTCTCTCTCATAAATGTACAGCCATTAATCTTATTTCAAGCAGAGTGCCAGATTCTGAGCAATTTTTTCTCATTAGCATTTTTCCTCTCCTTTTGACTTAGAGAGGGGAAAAACTGCATGTGATGACATATAGATATCATAGGTAATTTTTATGTGAGGAAGCATGGAGATATGAAAGAGCAGAAAAGGGTTTAACGAGTGCTTTTTGTATGTACCAGCGACTGTAACGGAGGATGGCTAAAAAAAAAAGTCAGAGCTGCAACATTTCTGTAATTAGAAGCTACATGTTAAGGATACGTGCCTCAGTATCTGCAAAAGCATCTGTGTGAGAGACTAATCTCATTTATTATGTCCTGAATCACAGACACACTGTCACATTAAAAAAAAAAAATCTGCACTACTGTTTCGGTTTTCACACATACAAAGTTGGAGGAGACTCACTGGGAAAAAGAAGCGAGAGAGATGAATTACAAACACAAATAATTTAGCAAGAGCTAAATTAAGAAGAAATATTCTGACAGCATCTCCTCTCTCCAAGGGCACGTCTAAGACACCACGTTCCCTAACTGGAGAGAAAAAGACTGCATCAAGCTTGAACTCCCAGAACCCATTTAATTTCCAAACTAGAAGGACGGTCAAAGAAACATTCCTCCTTCCTGCCTCTCCTCCTTCACGTATCCAGTCAGCGATTAATAACCAGATTACCATTCATTCCCTCCTTCCTGCCGCAGCCATACCCAAAGAACTTACCACAGTAGCAATGCTGTCCCCGGACTTCAGGTACGCAAAACAAGAATGAGCAAACCGACAGTGCCAAAATAAAAGGAGGAACAGACTCGGGTTCTCCAATGTGAAGTTCTCTTACCCAAGGGGTGTTGCAGTTGTCCTGCCTAGGGGAATTTGAATGCAGACCTTTCCTAAGTTTCCTGGTGATACAGAACCGAATACCACGCACCGCTCTGACGCAGGCTGTCATCTCCTCCGGTCGAGCGTTACCCCAATTGCTCAAGCGCTGTAGGCACACTGGAAGAGCACCCTCCACCTGCCACCTCCCTGCTGAGCCCTTGCTCTGCCTCAGCCTCACCTTGGTTTTTTTTGCTTTTTCGTTTTGTTACCGTGGGACTTCCATATGAATTCATCCAAATGAGTTCCGGTATAAAATTTAACAAAGAAACAGGTAACAATGTATGACTCAAACGTCAGTATTTTTTCCAGTCCACATTTCTGGGGGGCCAAAAGAATTAGATCCCCCAACTTAGATATTCATCACCCTTTTGGTCACCTATGACTGCAAATATGCTACCTCGCATTACTCTGGCTTCTGTATTTGTTCTGTATGTACAATTACTGTTACTGCTGCATTTTAGCCAAAGTACGAGTCTGAAAAATATCTCGTATTAATGAAGAATTGTTTAATTTCTTACAGACATACCTTTTCATGCAATAACAATTAAGAACTTTCTCGTGGTCTGGAATGATATCATCTCTATTCCACTGCAACACTAGTCGACAAGACTAAGTTCATCACTACCTAGTGGCTAGAATTAGTGTTTATCATGGAGAGTGCTATTTGTTTTAGTACCTCCTTGTTAGATAGGAACAAAGCATACTGAGGACGTTTGCAGCAAAAGAAAGTATTTCTTATGAATCGCATGCCACTGTAGGCAAAAGGCTTATCAGATCCTTGTAAAATCACTTCCTCTCTATCAGCAAGTATTTTCAGGACAGGGGACTACAAATTTGGCTATGTCATCATTGCCAGTTGTACACACAATGTTTGAAAACCATGAATACAAGATATAGAAGAATCTGCTCATACCAGTGCAACACAGGAGAATCACTCGTGCCAGAATTAAGTCAGAAATGCCCACGTTTGTCTTTTTTGAAGGTGCCTTTCACTAAACGTGGCTTACGTGTCAGTAGAAAGCGCTACAAAATTCCTCACTTGGATTTTATTTGTTTTTTAAAACCCAACACAACAGCTATACTTTTCTAATTTCAAACCCAGGAAAGAGAAAGATCCAAAGGTCTTTTGCATCAAAGACAAAGAAATGGCTATTTTTTTCCCCTGGATGTAGTCTGGTTGCCCCTTCCTGGAGGCAGCACTACGCTTACGAGGCTGTTTCGTAAGCCAGCCTTTTGGTAACAGGAGACCTCTGCCGAGACTGCATCTAGAAGATACTGCGCAGCTACCCTATTTTGCTGAAAGTCTCCACTCTGATTTGGAACACTGAAACAGTGAGCAGCCGTACTAACTCAATTGCATGCTGGTCAGTAAGCTTGGTATTTATTAGAGCTTTACAGAATTAAAAGAAATGCTTTGACTTTGAAATACTTTTATTTAATGTCATCATTTTTTAACATCTCTTGTGGGAACCTGCTTCTTTTAAACTGATTGCTTTAAAATGGTTAAATAGCAATGTGAATACTTATCAGGGCAGTTAAGCAAAGGGTTTTCACTGTTATTTGAAAAACCTTAGTTTACAGAATGTTTTGTAGAATATAACAAATCCAGTACGCCTGTAGTGCACCTTTGTAGTTTTCTTCCCAATTATACCTTCTTTCCGTGATTTTGATTGCACAGTCATCCGCAAGTACTAAAACCTGTTCTTGTGGAGTTCCTATCTGCCTAAGTTATGTCATAGCAAACATTTAGCCCATAACCTGTACACTTATGTATCAGCTACATCTTTATCCTCCAAAGAAACTCTAGAATGATAGAAGATCAATTTATTCAGCTGTATGTACAGTATATTTGCATATTAATAAATAAATCAATATTAAAGTTAAGGTCTCGTCCCCCATATAAAAGTGACTACAGTCTGACCAGACTATCTGACTTTGCTTTTTTTTTTTTCTTCCAAGCACAGCTGTGTGACTGAGGCTATCCGTTTCCACTCAGTTTATTACAGTAACTGTAGGAGTAGAAACCTAATGGACCAGTGCTTACCTTTAAATTCTATATAGCGGGGGGGAGGGGGGGGGAAGTACTAAAAAGTGCATCAAAAGCCAACAGTTTGTAGAGCAAAAAAATCAAGTTCACAATGTGATCCTGGGGAAGAGAATCCAGCCCAAAAGAGGACATGCTGCAGCAAACATTATAACCAACGCACATTTTTGTCTTGATAGTAAGCTGCATGATGCCAGTCTTGTCACATAATGTTCCAAGAATTCCAACTCCAATAGATGCCATCTCCACCTCTACAAATTTATCAACACCACATTCAGTGCAAAGTGACATTTCTTAAAATAACTATTTGCTTTGTCTCCATAACATTCATCCTTACTGTGAAGGAAAGGCTCATTTTCTTTAACTGTTTATTACTATATACAGAAGAGCCTATATTTGCACCTCTCCATTTCTGGTAGTGAATTTTCTTTGCTATCTACATTCATTAGAAATCAAAAAGATAAGTGGCGATATTTCATATTTACTGGAAGTCTTTCCATTAGCCCAAAGAATAGCTGTTCATCTTGATTTATACCTAAAGTAGCTGCACTTTGTTCTTTTTTCCAGCCCACTTTCAATGGGGTATAAGTCATGAGAACCCGTGGGACGGGAACGTATTTCAAGTCTGATTGCTGGAGCTGGAAGAGTGATGAGTCCCGTTTGAATTCAGGTGTCTGTTTGCAGCACAGTGTGTGTGGACCATACCCCCATTTGGGTATCTTACAAATACAGGCTCGCAGAAGGGATTTTGGCACACCTGACAGACCTTTTTGTCCGAAAGAAGAATTGGGGTTCCTTTTTGTTTAACCTAAAGAGAGGGGAAAAAATCCAAACATGAATCTAGCAAGAAAGGAAGGGAAATGACGAGGCATATAATTTCAACTGTACCAAATGGACAAACCTGGTCAATGATAGAGATAGTAGGAAGAGACAGCTTGAACTATTTAACTTGAATTCAATTTCCACATTCGTACTCATACATTTTCATGCTTCCTCTTAAGTACTGCTTTTTTTCCTTCTTTGTTTAATAAAGAAAAGCACTCACACATTTAATGCAACTGAAAACCCCATGCAACTTCCTAAACTCCACAGCAAACTGAGCACTGATGCATTTTCATTCCAGACAGATTCTGCTGGATATACCGTCGCTAGAACTAAACAGATTTAAGAATCTGCTGGGAGCTTTAAGCAACACAGCTCTAGCTAGGAATAGAAGAAAGCTTCACAAGTGAATTTACCACTAACAAAAGCTACTAACAAGCTTCAAGTAATACTAAGTGCTGGGTAAACTTTTTTGCAAACTCTGACAGGTCTCAATCCTAGTGAAGAAACGCTAACTCACATTTGTTAAAGTTTCTGCAAGAACTTCGTTAATCTGTAAATCCCAGATTCACTTTCATTCAGCCCGGAAGTTCACCAAAGTTGTTCCTATTTCAAGGTCCCCACCGTCCGTTTTGTTTTACAGAGAAAGCATAAAATTAAGTTTGAATCTAGGAGTCATGGCAAAAAACTAATAAATGCAGCAAGTGAAATTGCCAAGGACATGAAGACAACTTTGTCCGAATTCTTCAAACTACTTCTGATTATTAAATGCCAAAGGACTTAACTGTAAAGCTTCAAAGTGCCTCTATTTAAAAAAACAAACCCAAACAACAACCTACCTTCTCATGTTTGTAGATTAAGTTTTCAGCTTGTGCTAACCCAAGTGCAATCTGAGTCATTCTTTTTGTATGAATGCTTTGCCTCACTGCTCCAGCCAGGAATGGGGAGAGGAGCTGCACTGACCAGCTGTCAGGCACCAGCTGCAAGACTAGAGCCGCATCAAATTCAGCAGCGTGGTTATTCAAGAGATCCACAGCAGCCATGACTAGTGCACAATCCGAAGTGCCTGGATTTAGGTACACTGACAGCAGCATATGAAAAAGCCTCCGTCTGTACTGCATGTCTCTGTTCTCAGAGTTCCATATACAGTATTCTTCAGCAGCACGGAAATCCTTTAACTCGTGGACAAGGATATGCAAAGCCTTCTCATGGTCTTCTAGTTTTCCATATAAAATTGCACTTTCCATATGAAGGTCTGTGCCCTGGATTTTGTCTGTTAAATGAGAAACAAGGTGGTATTTGCTCAGTGGAGAAGATGACTACTCCCTCTCCCAGAGTCAACGCAAACAAGCCCACAGTACTCAACTACTGCTATTTTTGCAGGGGTGCTGGCAGCTATAAAGAGGACAGATGTTTAGAAGTACAAGAATGCCTATATGCATGGAAACACATCTCTAACAGAAGAGCACCACAAAAGACGGGAAAAAGAAACTACTAAATGACAGGTGACAAAACCAGTGTCACTGACATCTTTTAAATTCTAGCATGTCAGTCTTGCACATTTCTGCGCACGCTCCTACCATGTATGATGAACTGTGAGATGAAGCCACAATATTCTTAACGTCCGCTTCTCCCATTATTATAGAAAATTACAGAATAGAGTCCATAAAAGACAATAAATATAAAATAGTATTCCCCTTTAAGAAAAGGACACTACAAACCCTTAATCCAGTCTGACAGCTTAAAGTGTCAGCAATAGGCAGGGGGAATGGCAAGTTCATCTGGCATTTCAAGATAAAGTAGAAAATCCTCTGCTTATTGTAAAGGTGATAAAGATTCAGCATAGGCCTCTGTAAAAGGTATGGAAATACGATGTTTTTCTCCCGAAAATATTTTGGTTATCAGGGAGGAACACACTAGCATGCATTGATCTCACCTTCATGTAAGATAAGAATTGGCATGTAAGAAATCCTGTGTTTTGGAGAACATGGATTTCAAGAGAATAATCCATCTTGTAACTCTTGCCCTTAAAAATTTGGTTAAAAATTAAAAGATGAAAAAAAGCAAGAGTTTCAATGGCTGTGTTATACTTGTAGATTATCTGTCATATAATGTTTTGCTGACTGGAAAGGCAAGGGGACATCAAATGTGGGTAAATTATTTTAGTTGCTACTCAGCTATTTTTATTTCCACATCCACTGGATTTTTCCACCGAATTTCCAAAAAACATTTCACATCTTTCAGTACAATAACAAGTCATTTCCCTTTCATCCACTGGAACATTAAAAATTAGCCATTGTAAGCTTGGCCGAGGAAAAAATTTAGCTCAACTGTTGCTTGCCTTATACCAACAGTAAGACATAAGTTGCACTTTTCACTCAAAAAGATGCTCATATTTTTGTTTAGCTTTCCCAGCTAAACCCAGCTTTCGGGGTGAGAGTGGGTTATGGACAACAAACAAGTGCTTGGTAATCAGATTCCTCAAAGCTTCACTTCAGTTCACTGAGAAACAGACTGCTTAACAAACAAACTTGTAAGTCTTCCATTTGCAAAAGATTTTCACAACTTACATGCTCATCACTAAAAAAACCTGACTATAAATTAAGAAGGTTATTGTATGAAGATATTTTTTCTAGCCAGTTATGGTATTCTGTCTTTGGTGCAGTGGTAAACATATCATTGTACCTCATGAGCTATGGGAGATCAAAGACAACACTAACAGATACGCTTTCTCAATTAACTTGTGACTGTTAGAAATACAGATGATGAGCCTATCGACTAAATACACCTAGAAACCTCCGATCTTTTAGTTTTCTATCCTTATGAGGACTTTATTTTGTTTCCTGCTGGAACTGACATATAGCATTTATAATAGACAACATGCATCTTACCCAAAATAAAGCGAATTCTATAAAGATCAGATTTCTGAAGAAGACTGCGTAGTTTAAACAGCAGTTCAGTTGTTTCTGTAAAATTATCTGTGGTCACAGATTTTAGCTGAAGTATTGCCTCCAAGTACAAGACAGCTAGATGAGTATGGTACTTTTCTTTCTACAGATGAAAAGAACAATGTTAGCTCAGTTAACAAAGACAACCCCTTCTCCCCACCAATAACAGTGATGAATATTTACATAATTACATAGAAGTGTGTTTTAATTCATTTATTTAATTTGAATTAATCAGAAAGTCTTTTGTTTATGCAGATAGACAACTTATTCATACCAGCTTCACAAAATACACTGTACCTATAGTATGGGATTCTCTATTTCATTAATACAAATATTTCTAAAATGTAGATATGAAACGTCTTATTCCTAAACCCCTCTTCATCTTAAAAAAACAAACTCTATAAATAGCTTTTCTTGTGCAAAAATTATTTCCTTTCAGAAGTTCACCTAATGAAAGTCAATGCAGTAAAGCAGATCTCTCTCCAGTGGAGTACAAGTACGATGTCCACTGTGTCTTCCCCTTTTGTTTCCCTTGTCAAATGAGTAATTTTGATCTAATTACTTCTTCCTCATATTCAGGTATGTTCTTTGACCTTTTCTATTTCTGCAATAAAGTTTGAGAAAGCCACCAGAGGTAGACAAGCACTCTGAAGGCACAGTGCTTTTTGTGTTATCCACTACCCAATATTCAGCAAAACAAGCTGATGATTTGACTGTTCGAAACATTCTCACTAAAGCATTCACAATAATCTAGTACTTTCTAAAGACCAAATCAATTTATAAACCAGCCTTTACTAGCAGGTAGAGTAGATTTAACTATAAATTATTTTTGTTACAAATATTCTACAAGGCACTATGTTTAACTCAAAAAGTTTGTTTGAAAACATTCATGACATTAGAAACTAGTACATTCATCCGTCATGGTGTCACACACCTTGACGTATTTGCAATAGTGACAGAGGGAAACCATTGATCTAGCACGTGTATTTGAAGAATGTAAAATAGTGAACTGGTCATCAGTTCTGCCGAGTTCTTTCAATGTTCATTTCCTTGCTTTATTTGCAGGTTAAAGTAACTTCTCCTGTGCTTAAAACGTCTTGTATCCGAGTACCATAATGTTTGGCTGCTTCTGTATTGTGCTTAAAAACCCAAAGGTAGAATACACTGTCACTTATGACTTGTGAACACATTTTTTGGACATTCAACATGCAGAGTGGTTTGGAATTCTACAGTGAGAGGTGCATGCTTGAATTCTTTCATTAATTGCTCAAATCGCTCCAGAAGGACAGACTAAAACACACCTACTTATAAAACACTGAATTAGCAATTTTAGTATATTGCTGCCACAGTGCAAGAGGATTAGCAGTTGCTCAACCATTTTTCTATGATCTTACCAGGTGGAGGTTTGAGCCTCATCAGTGAAACAGAAAAGTATGCAATAATCAAATGTAACCCCCCCCCCCCGAACCTCTGAGGGGAGGTAAGCAACTGTCTTGCCATCACAAAACTTGAAAAGTTAAAAATAATGCAGATATCTGCTCCTCATCTTCTACTTTAATCTTAAAACCACTCCTTCCCTACTCTGAGTACATCTGAAAGCTTTCAAATTATGCTTGTTTCTTCTAGACTGGCTTTTTTCAGAGTTGTTCATCATAGTCTGCATGCTGAATCCTATGCCTACTTTTAGTATTCTTGTAGGACTCACCTCTATTTTTCTTTCCAATACTAGATGTTCTAGATATTTAATGTGTGCTTTAGGATATTTGTTAAGGCAACTGATGATATCATCTGGATTAATGTTGTTTTTCTCCTGTTCTTCCAAAGGCCTTTTAGTGAAAATCTGTACGCCAACCTAGAAAGAGTTAATAGCATTTGAGAACTCAGTGGCAACCATTTTATTATCTTTTTATTTTAAATACTTATTTAATAGCACTATCAGATTAGTTAGTACATTATTCAGGAAGATAAACAACACAAAACCCCGCTCAACACCACCAAGATTACACTACTCAGTGCTTACTGTGATCTCACTCACTCCTACCTCCATTACCTCAATTTGTAGTCTATACATTATCCAGCCTATAAACCTTGTGTTGGGCACAACCTCCACCAGCCACAAAAAGTATTGAACAGATCTGCATAACAGCAGAACAAGAGACTTCAGCCTTTGCAGCAAGAAAGCGTAAGTTAGAGACCAGAATGTTTACAGCCTTATAAAATGTGATGATACACACAGAGCAAGAGACTTCTATAATGACCAAAACAAAAGTTTAGAAATCTGTCATTGCATGTAATAGCAGAGCTTTAAGTTAATTTAAATTAGGCAGTGACAAGTTCCAACAGCACAGGCTGTCTGATACAGCATCAAGCATCCCACTTAACAGCACAGCACGCTAATGGGTGTTACAAAATTATTTTTCTAATTTTGGTGCATTAAGTTAATTCTTGTAGCAATGACGTTTTGTCTTGAATGAAGGCTATTTATGCTACATCCTAGTGTACGCAGATATCACCCATCCCTGGAATCCTTTTAAAAAAGAAACAGCAGCAACAGTTAACCTGTTAGGTGATTTTTTTTTTTTTTTTTAAGATCTGAAAATTATTTTGCTTAATATGAAGAAAAACAGAAGACATGCTGTACCTTTCATTGTACAGGATGACCTAAACTTTGTTTTCAGAAGAAAAAGAGGCAATTATCACTAGCACTTGTTAACAGAGGGACTTAGAAGAATTGAGAAACCTGGAAGTTTTCTTCTGTTGATCACTATTTAACTGGCATTAAATATTCTGCAAAAATGATCCAATTAGCTATCAAGATGGAACAACGTTAATGAACACTCAAACACCACTGCAGGGGAATACTTTCTACTTATGATGTCCTGTGAAAAGTACACCAATCACAAACCTCTTCATTTTTTTGTAAAACCCATGCAGAGTATTTCCACACTAGATCTTGGTCTGAGCAGAATGTAAGGAAGTCTACTATATATTCATAGAGATCTGAACGTGTAGAATCTTGAATGTCTCCATCAACTATTTTCACCCATAACTGCAACAAAAACACACACAGATTAAGTGCTTCAAACATGTACTCAAAATTTAGGTGAGCTACTACAACACTTAGTATTAGCTATTGGTACTTGTAGAATTAGAAAGAGCTCCTAGGAAGATCAATTGCAAGGGACCTCACTGGTCACTAAATTTATGCGTCCCCTCCATCACAGGCTTTTCTTGCACCTGCCATATTCAACTAATTCAGACCCCGTATCATGTGGGTTCTCATTCTGAGAGTGAGTGGTTGAATACTTCAGGAGGAGGTACAATAATCACAAAGAAAGCTTTTGATAAGTCCTTTTCTCCAATGCATGGTATACTTTTCATGTGTTCTGTGCATGCAAGACTAAAAGCAAATGATACAAACAATTTAGAAGAAAACCTGATTTTGGTGGTCTTTCATTTTGAACTGAAGAACTTCAAGTACCATGTGAGATTATTTTTATACATATTATAATTGGAATTAAAAGGTGCCACATCTAGCAGACCAGTTTAGCAATAAACCTTGTTCCTTGCAACAAAGAAAAACGTCTTGCACGTGACAAAGGTACATACTGTTTTTGCTATCCTTACTGGTTTTCTGCTCAGGAAATTACTATTTACATAACTGACAAACACATTTGACAGTGTTACTGTGATTAACATACTCAAAAAGCCACACAGGAAGGCAAACTACTTAAGGTATTGGATATGGTCTGAGACATACATTTTATTTATTGATCAAGAACATATTAATTTTTCTAGATGAAGTTTTGCAGACAGGAATAACAAAATTATTTAGTCTGCAGTCTATGGACCGCTGCTAGTCTTAGTGACATCAGAAGGGAGGTCCCCAAAGGGATTACTAACGCAGCTGAAACCCACAGATCTTGCAGAATGTGTTCACTGTCCATCATCAGATAAGGAAATAAACTCTCAGTTGCTGTCAGTGTCTGCCATGAGATTACAATATTGCTTTTCTGTGTGTATACAGACTAATCAGCACAGGGTATGTTCCTGAAGTCTCTCAAACACCTTTTTTAAGTGATCTCGTGGACAGAAGTGCTAAAATAATCATCTTTTAAGAGTACAAACATATGTTCTGGTAAGCACAGTTTTGCTTAAAAAATAGCATACAAGCATCTAAATATCTTAAGTAGCTGTCATCTTCAGTAAGCTCTTCAGGTTTTTCATATCTAGCATATTAATTTATTCAAGGCAGTCTTAGCATAAGTTTCTCTCATATATACACATCACTACTTTTCAAACAGATAAATTAGCACCTCAGATTTTTATTCTCAGAGGTAAACTGGTATTTTGGAATGGTTTACAGATGACGCTAAAAGCTTTATTCTAACCTGAAGTGCTGCAGCATCCTGACCGTTGTAGTGATACAGGAGACCAAGGGCAAAATACCTGTATAGAAAGAGAAAATAATATTAAAATCGCCAGATCTTTCCTACCAATTTCATTACGGTTTGATTAGCACAGAATATAACAAATAATTGCTTACAGTGACATGTACACGGCCATGTCTACACTTGAACAAGTATCTGTAGGCTCTTTTTCAGAATCAAAGGAGAAAAGTTCTGTCCTAGAAATATGTCTGTGTCTCTCCTATCTCTAAGGCAGTTTCTAGTTACTAGCTCCAACTTAAACAAAGTATGTGTCAAATTAGAGATGATTCCCATGCCGTTATTTGAATTTTATATACAGACTTAACACCCAGCTCCAAATAATAAATATCCCTCCAATAGTTAATCAGGTGTCACTAAATCAAATTTTTATGATGCTTTTACTCAAAACTCTGTTTTATTATCAGAAACATTTTTTTCTTTACTGCAGCATGAAATCAAGTCAGGCAAGGAAGAGCTTTGTACAGTGCCGTTACAGGGTTTTTTTGTGTACTGTAATAAAAACACAGCTAAAGTTCTGTAACGGCTGTTCTCATGGAATGATGTTCTACCATTTACATTTGCGAGAGTTTGCCATGCAAACCATACTTACCAAGAGGATTTAACAAAACACCTGAAATAAATGAAACCACCCTAAATCTAACCACAATTAAAGACTCCTCCTCACCACTGTAGTTGCTACTACTGCACCGCACAGTTTAAAGATTAAAGAAATTAAATCCAAGACAGAGACACTACCTATGACTGGAGTTTGTATTTTACATATTTACTATCTAGTGTTTCCTGCTTAATGACAGTCAATTCTCCACCTGCTGGCATTTCCAATTTGAAGTCATTTGCAGTCATCTTAAGCAACCTCCTTTTGGTGAACCAGTGGGAGCACAGAAAGTATACAATTCAGAAGTAAGATCTCTTTCCCTGAATAAGCAACTACAATTTTAAAGCCACTAGCTAGTTAATAGCTTCTACCTAAGGTACTGCCATGCTTTAAGGCATCTTTTCATTCTGTCTGAGTACTACTACTGCCTCCATTCAACTATTGCATTGTCACAAGGGTAAACAAAACACTTCCCCCCCCTCACCCCTCCAAATTTGTACCAATCCTTTATTTTTTGTGTTGGACGCAGAAGCTTTCAGGGAGAACTCTGTATTTACCAACGTAAGACAGAACGCATTTCCTTTACCTCAGACTGTCAACTAATACCTTTTCACCAACATTTTTAAATACTGAAAAGTCAGGCCAAGTTGTCTTTTGGACCTGAAAGCACAGAAACTACAAGGATTTGAACACATTGCTCTAGAAGCCAATAGCATTTAAGACAATTTTCCCTCTGGTCTCAAAGGTGCAATACTCAAAAAGTCCACTCACTTTTTGTGTTTTTCCAGCCAGGCAGCACTATCTGTTAAAAGACAAAAGTTCTCCGAAACTAGCAGATCCAGCAGGCTTTCATGATTTGCCTCTGCATATAGCTTGAGTAAAGCTGTGTCAATATCTTCCTTGTAGCCATTTGCAACCTCAGTGCTGCGGACTTCATTCAAGTAACTCATGAGGAATCGTTTGCATTTTGTCATCTTCTCCTGGTCCCCTTGGGTCAGCTGGTTTAGGTCCGCGTACTCATGCAGAGGGGGATGAGACCGTATAAATGAAGAGGAAGTAGGCAACAGGAAGGGGTAGAGAGAGATCAGCTCCCGGACATCAAGCTGGCCGCTTCTGCAATTACAGTGTCAAACTAGATGAAGCAAAAAGAAAGAAAAAGTATACATAGGCACAAAAAAATAACATACTGGGAATGTGTGCACACACATGCTTAGAGTCAGGACACTAACAGGTTGTCGGTTTCTGAAAGTTATTGCCTTCTATGCTGGAGAAAATACATTCAGAAGAAGTTTGGATTTTTTTTTTTTTTTGCTATTTCTATCCAAACTTGTTTATCATTCTTTTTCCTCCTCTAGACATTGAAAGCTCTGAGAATTCGGAGACTGGCCAGCCTTTTGCTTTTGAGATCCCACAGCTGTTCTGTGGCATATACAAAAATCAGCTGAATAGCCTTAGTGCAGTTCCTAGGACTGTCCTAGACTTCATCCGTACTTTATGGGAGCTAGTCTTCTGATGGAGGCAAAAAAAAAAAATGGAGAGAGTGAACCCTTTCAGGCAAGCCACAAAGACAGTGCAAGTGTAATTCTGTAGAAAACAGCAACTTCCTGCAGAAAACTCAAGCTTTCAGAACACGTGTTTGGATTATTAAAACATTTTCCCCAACACTGAAATGCACCAGATTCCTCCTTCAGCTCACTTCTTAAGGAGGTTCTGAAAATGAACCGTGGATACTGATTATGCATCTGTCTAACCAATAAGCAGCAGTCTACTGCACAGGCATAGGTCTTCGGTGTACCATCCATGTCAGATACTACGGAGTGGCTTTCCCACTTCGCATGTGAAGGGCATCTATACTTAATCCAGGAGCAAGTTGTAACATAGATACGCTACACAAAGCATTTTGCTTTCGGCCTAGATTGAAGAAATTCCTCAAGCATTTGAAGAATGCGTGTTGTGACAGAAGAATAAAACAAGAAGTTTTTTCACTCATGGCAAACAACTCCCCAATTTTCACAGCTAGAATGACTCCTCCTCCCAGGCCTTGCTTTAGAAGAACGGCAAGAAATCAGGATTTATATTTTATTTCACTGACAAAGTCATTATTCAGAATTCATCTTTAAAGATGAGCATTCCTGAAATGCAGGAGATACTGTTGCTGAAAAAAAATCAAAATGAACTGACAGTTCATTTTCTAAAACAAACCCTGGTTAGTTACTATTTTGTTGCAAATCAAACTTTTAAAAAATAGTTTTTATCTATCCGGTGATCAGCAACCTCAGAAAGACTTTCCCTTCACAACCCTGATTGGAAAGAATTCCAAAAAGAAACCAGTTATAACCATGGACGTAGATGAAGCAGTAGATTTCTGCAAGCAATAAAGTGTGAAAGATCCTCACAAGCAGGCTCATCCCTTCCCTACTGTTGTAAAGTAACTAAAGCAGTGGGGCATGCCCTGAGTTGTTCACTTCTTGCCAGAGACAGTTCCAAAACCACCCAGGAAATATGAACTAGTAGGAAGCATCACCATGGCAACACCTATTTAGAACCTTTAAAAAAGTAAATACTGTCCTTTGGCTACAAAAATCTATACCAGAAGAATGAAATTCTGGGAGACAGCAGCAACAGCAAATTTAAAAGCAGCAAGTATCCTGTTCCAGAACTTAGTGACTGCAAAGCATGGGAACAGCAACACAAACAATAGAGGACCACAACAGAGGAAAATCTGAACATGGGAAGCCCTCCTGTGAGAAGAGGTTTGAATAGCAAGTTTTTCTGATTCGTACACAGAGCTCCTACTGCCCAAAAAACACCTCTACACTAGAAAGGCCAGCCTCTAACCAAGAGGAAAGTGTTCATGTCTACTTTGCAGGTTTCTTCAGTTGAAATTTCCTTTTAATCCCTCTTTTCAGACTTGATCTTTGGTTTTAAAATTCTTAGATCTACATTATGATGGAATTCACAAGTAGATGAGGACTTTTTTTTTTAAGAGACAGAATAACCAAGAAGTTCTGTCAGTGGTGTGACCTGACGATTCAAAGAGCATTTGGGCTTTCAGTATAAACTCGTTACAATAATCTAACTGCAGCTTTCACTAGTCCAACTACTCACAAAAGTTTAAGGCCTGAGGACCACCAGATAAAATGTATTGCATGAGATGTATTATGCTAGAAAATTAACCCTATTTAAAGAAATAAGGGATTTTTTTTTTCCCCCTCCAAGGTTCTTCATTGCTTTGTTTTAGAACAAAAGCTAACCCACAACTTGAATAACATCAACAGGTTACTCAAAATTAGTGCAGAAGCAAGGAGTCTTGACAAATCCACAGAAATTCAAGTATAAACATTGGTTCCCTTGCTGGCTATGATGTCAAGTATTGGGAGATGGCCTAAACTTGAGATGGAGACTATGACCATGGAGACAGATGAAGAAGTTAAAAATGCTATATTTAACATGCCACTTTTAATAAGTTTTAAAACATTTTCCAACTTCTACAGTAGCTTCTGCATCCTTTCATCTTACCATCCAACTTTTCCCGGATGAGGAAGTAGTCAGCTACTTCACTGCTGAACTTCACAGATTCTGGCCTTAACGACCATCTGTTTCCAAAAGGAGAATCAAAACCAGCTTCCAACTCAGGCTAACTCAAACCCTGGGCTGTGAATCACCAGTGGTTGTCTCAGCAGGTCTGACTCAAGCTCACATTGTACAGTTTTGCTCTCCCCACAGCAATGGTAATCAGCAATCAAGCAGCCTCCTTAAAAGCACAGTATCATTCAGAACAAGCTTCTTCAGAAAAATACCAAATACTAAACAATGACCCCACCTGCATGAATGGTTAACATTAACCTCAAGGCTTATGGCTCCTGGGATCTGTGGATGTCTTGTGGCTCTTTCCACCACATTTGGAGGAAACAGTTTAGGAACAGCTACAAAGGACCTCATCTCTCTTGAAAAACACGTTTGAGTCTTCAGCTTCTAGCATCTCAGGTTTAGCAAAATATAGCTAGCAACTTATCACAAAGTAGAAAACAGGCTCTTAAGGCAAATCACGCTGTCAATGTTAAGAGGCAACTTCCCTTTGAGTAATTCTGCATTAGGTCTTTCTGGGCTTCATATATACTAACAATGCAATGGGCAGAATCTACAAGTTTTCAGGAAACTTAGGTCTAAATTCAGACCCTTAAATTTACAGATATCAGAGATGTCAAAGAAGCCTACATGATTTAGCTGTTTGCCTAGATCCCACTGGCTGTAATAGAAGCTTTAATTTTTGAATCACATTTAAGATGCAAATCTCACACTGAGTCCTACTTCTTATGTCTCCAGGTATAAAGTACCAGTAATTTTTTAACCTTTCCTAAGTAGGAGAGACTTTAGCTGTAAGTCTCTCTATAGCCTTTCCTAGGTGAGACAACACTGTGATTTGTTAACATTTTGATTTGTTAAAAAGAGCAACAAAGTTTAGAAAAGTTCCAGTATCTGGTGAGTCAGATTGTAAGCAACATCTAACCAGTGAAAGGACATAACCAAACAGAGAAAGAGAAACAGGAGAGAAATGGTTTCAGTGTGACAGCTACCAACATCTCAGCAAGACATCTAGAATTCAGCAAATAGCTTGCTAAACATCTGTTTGGTCTAACTGCATGCGAGCCTCCAATGATAGCAATATGAAATAGCAAAAATATAATATATAAATCACAACTATGTAACACAATCACAATTCTGCTATAGCTTATAACAGAATTTGTCAGACGAAAGCTGCCCCACTGTGACAGCTCACTCAGTTTAAGTTTAATGGATCCAGCTGAAGAAAGTTCTCCTCCGTTTGTTGAACTATTTGAGTTTCAATAAAGCTACCACTTCCTTCCTTTTTGTCCACCTTCTTCAGTATTCAGAAGTATCAGCATAACCAAAAGGAACTTAGCAGGAAAGTATTCCTCTTAAAAGTTTCAGTATTTAAGAACTATGAAGTTAAGCATAAGATATAAGTGTATCTTGACAAGGTTATCCAAGAAGGATTATTGATGCAGGAAAACGAGACCTTTAGACCAATATAATAATTTCCCCTGCTAGCCTGTAACTGACAGGTATTTTCTGAGGAGTGAGACAATCTCACTCCATATGTGGCCAGAAGTAGGTCCACATCACACCAAGTTCTTGGAGGTACTGCTGCCACTCTGTTTCACTGCTAAATCCATCTTTTCTCAGATAGGTACCAAGTTTCCCTTTGGCATTTTAAGACTGAAGTTATTTCTGACTAACACCAGCTTGAAACACCTGCAAAGCAACCCCATGTGTTGACATGGGGACACGAGGAAGTGTTTGCATAGACTGCCATTATCTTTCCCATTTTTCCTCTGGGCATCAGTAAGTCTAAAATGAACAAGATTGTTTGAGTGTGTATCAGGGCATAACCAGGTATTACTTGAACTGGGTGTGTTCACCAGGGCTGAAAATCAGGGAACCTGAATTCCATAATGAGTTTTTCAGAGTCACCAAAATACTCTGAATATCTTATGTATGGCTGTCCAGAAGAAAAGCACAGAAAACTTAACTTTGCTTTCTCACCCCAGCAGACTTCAGCAATTCATGAACAGTTGTTCTGCTTTGGAGTTGCAACTTTTGGAGGAAGGGAACACCCTGGGATGCCAACTCAGCTCCAAAATTCATGCCTGGACAGCACGTTTTCTCATGAAGCATGTTTATTTCTATAGCGGAGCTCCCACAATCCTGTTCATTAAAGCTCATTTGTCAGATGGACTGCTAGTTGGATGGAGGCTGCATAACTGATCTTGGGTCCTTCCACAAGGTGCTGGAGCTCCCCCGCAGAATACATTTCCTCCTTTTCACTGCTTTTAAAAGATCCTTGGGCCACTACCAGTAAGGCAGGGTCCCCAGTTCAGACCCCACATGGAATTATTGCCAGGCAGGGTGGAATAAAGTGATAGAAAAAAGTTGAAGTGTCAGCCACAGTCAAGTCAGCTGCAGAGCTACACAAGCCTGGCTACCTAACCACACCTAGACAACGAAGACACTTTATAACCAGTACAACCTCAACAAGCTATTTTACCAAAGCTGGCCACACTGAAAAAACTGAAAAAAAGTCCATTGGAAAGCCACACGGAAGGGCTTTGTGGGAATGTTGTAAAGGATTCCTAACTATGTACAGCTTGTACTTCTACTTCAGATACACAACACAGGAGCGATTCAGTCTAGTGTTTGGAAGATTACAGGGAGGAGGAAGATTGCAAGTTGCTCACTAATGCCAAAAATTACAAGTTGATACAGAAAGTGGTTGTGGCCAAAACAAATTGCCACTAAATGCTGTTCAGGCCTTTCCTGTCATTCCCTAATCTTCACTCAGTGTACACTGCCCATTCAAGCCCAGTGTCTCCCATTATCCTGGTGAGCAGGAGGCAAAATGGTGAAGTCCCTCATCAGTAGTAACATTCCTCAAAGCTTTACTTTCCTTGATACATTTCCATAAACCCAAGGATGACTTGTTTCCTATACTGTACATACTTACAATATACAGCAAATTGTCTAACCTTAATCCTATTCCATAGACCCTAAACTGATTTAAAGTGAATTTCAGCAGATAACAAGGAGAGTTATTTTATGTGGTCAGCATGGATTACACTAACTCTGGACAGTGCCCCATCACAGAATGAGGCATGGCTAGCAGAAATGAAATTATCATGTAAAATAAAGATAACGAGCAGCATTTTTTGAATGAAAGTGGAGTACCAAGGTCAATTTCTAAACAAGTGACTGCTGAAACAGCAAAATTGGGAAGGTTAGTACAGACTTCAAGAACAAATAATCTGTCTTCCGGAAAAGGCCTAGCAGAACAAGTGTTAAAACAAATTCAGTATCAGCATCCTCAAAAAAATCAGTGCAACTGTGTCAATAATAGTTAAATTGTAACTAACATTTAAAATGTAACTTTTTGTTAAGGTTTGGGGTTTTTTTTTTCATTTAAAAAAAAAAAAAAAAA